TTCGAAGCCAATATTCATTGCAGATCAAACAAAGAGGTTGTCATTACCTCACATTTTGAAATGTAAAGCCAATGAAGAAAAGACATCATATTTTCTTTTTCGCACTTAGATGCCTGTTTTCCATACTTGTCCTGCCTGGAAGGTTGTAGCATTACACTGCATCATTACCATTCTTCTTAGTTCAGCCATTACCATGGCCAAAAATTATTTGATCCTAAAATAAATAATATATAAAAATAACATATTGCAATATAATTATTTTTAATACCGAATAAATAAAAAAAAACTAAAATTTGTTATGGGGGACACTGACAATTGACCACACTAGAAGAGGTCAAACTCCCTAATTCAATTACAGTCAGTGTAGGCTAGTTACACAAGCGTTTTAGTCAATGGATTACGGATGTTATGAAATTCGCTAAAAATATTCAAATGTATGATACCGACAAACGCACTAACAATGATGCCACAGTATAATAATAGCGATCATGTCGTTTATGCTGTCGGTGGAGATAGCTCAAAACCTTACAAATGCGCGGTCTAGACGCTGCAAGTCCACTGTATTCTGCCACTCTCTTGTTATAAAATGGTTAATATTTATATATAAATTTGACATTAAAATCTCTCGCGACCCCAGAATTTTGCTTGCATAGTTTAAGAAGCCCTGCTCTAGATTAACAGGAATTTGATAGTACGCCCTAGTAAAATTGAGTATTGAGAAAATATTTTTCCAAAATATATCTGTATACAGTCTTGAATATGCAGTACAGATACCCCTCAGGCATGTGCACAGTATTCAGGCAGCGATAATCACTGCAAGAGCACCAATCACCATTAGCTTTATGAACAATGTGAAGATGGCTGACCCCAGGACTTTTGGATGGCTGAATGACTGCTTGTGACATAAGGAATTCAAACTTTTGTCTTGCTGTTCGGAATAAACCTGGCGACAAATGACAAGGTTTAGAGGACATGGGAGGACCTTTAGTCTCAATACAATGGAAAATTGTTGAATTCTGATAATTGTTGGTTACATAAGAAGGATTAGTGAGTTTAGGATACTCAGCTAGTAATCTGTCAAACGTAGAATCACTAAGAATACAGATATGCTCGAATCAAAAGAATTTCCAAAAAATTTCCATGCAATGGCAAATTAGTTTTAAAATTGATAAGGCAATTGAAGCAAGATCAGCGAGTAATCCACATTTCTTAAGGAAATCTACACCTATAATTGAGTGATTTACATCTGCAATGACAAATAACCAAATAAAGGTATGATGTAAGTTTAAATTCAAAGTAAGGTGTTTAGAGCCAAATATGGCATATAAAACCAAATTCTAGGAAGGCTTAGAACACAAAGCATTCTTTTTGGTACTACCGACCATCCATACCAGTATCAATTAAATATTTAATTTGTGAAGAGGGGTCAGCCAAGAGTATGCAATTCACCTGGCAGTCGCTGTTTTATCAGAAGGAACACAGAGACTGACATTTCCTTGCCTCTTCCAAAAATTTACATGATAAAAGCAAAAGTCGTTTATTCACTCTTTATAATGATTAGTATGTTTGTGTGACCTGCTATGCCAGTGTGAATGCCAAAAAGTATACTTAGCACTGCGAGAATTATATCCCAAGGTAAAAGTTAATTCACTAACTTGTTTAGTCAGCTCTGCTACCTGGAGTTCCAAACGAGTAATAACAGATTCACTGGGTTTGAGTTACAATAGCCATACTCACATATGAATGAGATGTAAGCTCAGTAATCTTATCAGCAACCATAACCAAATTTCTCAAATCATCTTTACCAAGGGCAGGTAAAATAGACTTTTAGGAAGCCTTGTAAGTTCCAAAGACCTTAGCAAAGGTCCACCTATGGTATCACCTGCCAAAGAATGCATATGTGTCAATAATTGAGAAGGGCGTTGGTCGCTAAGCTCTAAACCTTGCAACAGAGTATGAATTTTCGACGCTTCACTCTCAGGATGCTCATCAATGAATCGTCGTTTTAAGGCATCAAAGTTTCCAGTAGCGGGAGGATTTAAAATAATATTGCCAACAAAATTAAGTATATCAGAGTCTATAGCAGCAAAGACATGATTAAATTTTGTTAAATCAAAAGTTATGTTGGAAAGGAAAAATTGCCATTCCAATCCAACAAACCATAGGGCAGGATTTGTTTTCCGTAAAGGCAGTAATTTTACTGAAACATGCAACATGCGACATGTGTATAGCCACTGCACCTTCAGCTGCAATGTCATCAGCAGAATTTTCATTATGCAACATTACCGACTTTCTGCAACTAAGTATTACAAATATTAATATCGAAGCATAACGTAAAAAGATAGAAAAACTATCTCACATCTGTACCTATTAAAGATACACATTGGAATGAAAATTTGTATCGCCCTAGAAACACATGATAAGTTGCCAAAAAAAATTATCCAGTATCAGCACTGACATATTAAGTAATAATTAGTTTCACTGAAATATTCCTGGTTTGCAGCTCCTTAATATAATTGTTTGCACAGATAATGCTGCCATAGAATCTCAGTATTCAACTTTCCTTAGCGCTTCACTTTGGCCATGAATAACTGCAGCAATCTTCTTAGATCACCAAATGTGGTGATGGTTTATACCACAAGACTCCAAACTCGTCAGAAAGTTCATTAAAGGAAGGTTTAAATCTTTGGTAAAACATAAAATTAACTTTATTTAAAATTAAAAAGTAAAATACGAAGCTAAATACATGGTGATAAGCTGGTGCCAAATGTCGACCACAAACAAACAGATACGGTGAAGTACAGGTTCAAGAGAATCTCTCGGCAAAAAGTTCAAGTTTTTATACTCACACTATAGCAAATGCACATGGGTACAGTGCAGTGAACAGAAAATAAATACTGCATGCAAATGTCTAAAATGCAAATATTCCGCCGCTCATTTTTGTAATGCAATCCAAAATGTAATCATGCCTTAATTAGTTTAAAATGTCTTTGCTGTGAAGTCTCGCTGTCTTCTCTTTTTGCTGTATTTTATCGCCTCTCTTTGCATTCTTCCATTTCACTACAGCAACATGCTGCTGCCTTCAAAAAGTGTATTTTTAAAATTTATCTGATGTAGTAGGTTCTTTAAGAACAAGGCGTGTAGCATTGATTTGATTTGTGTTAAATTAAATAAAAGTGTATACCAACCACAATTAAAAAGGAAACAATTGAATTTGGCCATGTCTTTAAGTTCTTGGTTTGTCCATCCATTTACCATGCCAAGTTATTACAACAAGCTTCCTTCCAATTCCGTTAGAATTAGTTGACAGTGGATCACCTTAGGGAAAAGTTCCATTTCACCAAAACTTTTAATGCACGTCTGTGCCATGCCTATTAATTTTATTTTCTGCATTCATAAGCAAATCCTCATTCGTGTTCTGCACAGTATCTAAGAATGGGGGGGGGATGTGCTCATCTGTGATTTATAAATTGCTTTAAAGATGCGGTAAACCACCAGTACTTTCAAACTTACTTGGATTCTTTTGAATGATCTTCAAAGTGTGCTTCAGTGTTACAGTCATTAATTTGTGTTAACAAGATGTTTTCAACTCCCATAAGTGAAATATTTTTATATGCTACAGTTTTAATATCAAACATGAGCTGAGGTCATCAGTCAGGAGTGCCATTTGTTCTGTATGTGTAACTGCATGCAGAAAGTGAACAAAATTCATATATGAGCTCAATGTTAACAATAGAGTGTGATAATAAACAATATAGAGAGTGACAGGTTAGTAATTGTGGGAAAAAACTGTCTGGGGAAATGGAGGGTATGTGTTAGTTTATAAGGTATTTCTCCCATCTTCTTGGCATGCCTTCGTGATGTGGTGATCTGCATGCTGGGTGCATATTCCAGAGGTCCGCGGTTCGATTCCCAGCAAAGGTGGTTGTCCATTTTACACCTTGCCTGCTTTCAAAAAATACCTAATGTCTCTCCAGTGGTGCCTGAACTAAAAGGGTGGTGGATGATGATTCTCTCCACCCAGGATTTGGCGATTGGGTCCCCTAAAAACCCCAGTTGTCCTTTAAAAGGGGGAGTATATAAGGTAGTTCTCCCGCCTTCTTGGCATGCCTTCGTGGTTTGGGGGTCTGCGCGCTGGTCGTGTATTCCAGAGTTCCGCGTTTCGATTCCCAGCGAAGGCAGTTGCTCATTTTTCATCTTGCTTTCTTCCAAAAGATACCTAATGTCTCTACAAGCTTAAGGGAAACTTTCAGAAATTTATCAAAGTTGAAAGTTTGATCAGAGAGCAATAGTACAATTGGGATGAAACAGGGTTAAATTATAAACTGTTACGAGCGAAAAGTCTTGCTTTCGAGGAAGAAAAGTCAGCCCCTGGTTTTAAAAGGAGCAAGAAGAGGGTAGCAATCCTAGCATACACTAATGCAACAGGTGACCACAAATTAAAACTTGATATCATAGGAAAATCAAAGAAACCATGTGTGTTTAAGTACATTGAAATAGATAAACTTTCTATTTGGTATCTAAACTAGTCAAATGCCTGGATGAGCTGTGCAGTTTTCTAAGAATGATTCCATGAAGTATTTGTTCCATCAGTTGAACAATTTTTTAAATCTAAAACCCTGTCGAGGAACAGTGTTCTGATTTTGGACAATGTGTCTTCACATCCAGACATTGAAGAGTTACAAAATAGGAATATATGAGCAATTTTTTTACCACCCAGTGTTGCAGCATTAAGCCAGTCAATAGACCAAGGAGTTCTGGTTAGTCTCAAGACAAGATATAGGTGCAAGCTGCTATCTTACCTTCTTTCTGCACACAATGATGGTCAATGTCTTATCCAGAACTTAAATAAACTATTAGATGTTGCTAGATGTTTGGTGGATGCCTGGAACAAGTTAGAATCATTAACACTAGTTCATTTTTGGTGAAAACTCCTTGATCATAAGGAAAATGAGTTTGTTGAACATGACGATGCAGAAAATGTAAACTTGCTCGGCCTCATGAAAAGAGTTTCTGGATGTGCAAAAGCTGATGAAAATGACGTCCAACAATGGCTCCAGGATGACACCGAGCAAGACATTTTGTCCAATGCAGAAATTATTGCTGCTATCACAGTTAATGAAGAAATGTCAGAAAAGGATGAAGACATTGACATTGAGGACTCCACTATGCAAGTCCCTAAAATATCCCATAGTGAGGGACTAAAGGCTGTTGAAACCACCTTTCAGTATTTTGAACAACAAGGTGCGTTGGTAATAGACTCACTGTTCCTTCGCAGTCTTCATGATGAAGCAGCAAAACGCAGAGCACTGTGTAAAAAACAGCATGACATTACGCATTTCTATAAAAAAAAGTAGCCAGTCTTTGCAAAGTCGACTAGTTAATTTTCATTATATACAGCTTTACGCCTTCATAAAGTATTTTTCTGAGGTCTTTCTTATCGAGTAGATTACTGTACAATGTGTGTTCATAAATTTTCATTAGTAAAGGCTTTGTGCCTTCATAAAGTAGGCACTTTTTCTTTGTTTAAGGGTATTTGGACAGTTTGAGTTACAGTATTACATTCTTAGTAAACTGTTGTATTCTCAAACAGCTAATGTGTACAAATAGTGTATTTTCTGAGGAAACACTTGTACTTATTCTTTTTTAAAACCTTTAGATTCCAATTAATCCTAAAAGTTTTGTAAGTAATATTAAAGCAACAAATATTCTATTCGTTGGTATCATTGAAATGCATGAATAAAGGGCAGACACTAATTAGAGCTGTTCATCTTCTCTTTACTTTCATGGATGTAAGATTCTTATTTCATTCCCCAGTGTGTTCTGTGTCAAAATTGAGGTGCAATTAAGCAAAATATTATTTTTTTACTTCTGATACCTTAAATACCTGGAGGCCTCAGACCAGAAGTGTGACTTCACACTGATTATTCATAAAACAGTCCATTCCATGTATGAGTATTCACGAGGGCATTGCTGTTGTCTATTACTTTAAAACAGGCACTTCAAGATCATACCAACCTTCTCATTTATGACATTTATGTAATGTGTCAGCATCACTGCCCAGCTTCAATTAGGGGATTTTAGCAAATTGGAGAATTCGTCTTTTTTCCACAGCAGTCATTGCATCGGTTATGAGTTATGGGATAAAAGTGGTCTTGAAATATCTATTCTAAAGTAACATGTTATAGTGCTGTAGGTCAAGACATGAGAATGAGTGCAACAATATTGAATTCAGCTTTCAGTAAAGCACTATAAATGTGATTATATGGTTAGTGCTTGTTATAATTATAATGATCAATGCAAAAATTCATGGCTAATGAGAGTACATTAAATCTGCTTTTGTTATAACAATTATCTGTTTTAATATCCTTTTCCTGCTAGACATCAGTAATTGTTATAATAGCAGCAATTATAATCAATTTAATTTTTATTTGGTAAATTTGTGTAGTAATTTAAAAATCTGCATTAATTAAATGAATTTCGTTTTTCTTTCTTTTAAAATAATTTTAGGTACGTGTATGGCAAAAAAGTTAAAGGTTTGGTGACATTTCGTTTTGGGGTACAAGGAGAAACTCCTGAAGCAGTCATGTTTGGTTTAATGGGACCAGAGCAGGTAAGTGGATTTATAAAGTAATACTAGTTTAAAACATAAATTTGTAACACTTATCTTAAGGCAGCAGTAGCAGAAGGAAATAGTAGTCTAGAACACAATACACATTTTTAGTCTGTTTGTGGCAGATGTTTTAACTGCTCACTGGAATTAACTGCCTGTTTAGAAACATGATATATTCTTTTAAAATATTAGCATTTTGGTGTGAGCTAGGTGCAAATGATTTATGCATTCTCAATCTGCAGGTGCCATATTTGTTTGCATATTGCCCCTTCCATCATATATTCCCCCCTTAGTCATTTTTATATGAAATGGAAACTTTTAATACATAATGCTCTTTTATACATAACTTTTATTACATGCTTACATAATCCCCCTTCCCCACACAAGAATGAATTTTAAGACTGTTTATTCAAAATTCAGATTCTTGGATGAGGCTTAAAAATGGAAATGGAGGCAGAACCTGAGCAAAAATTAATTCTACACCTGTGTAGTATGTTAGATGATAAAACAAAGAACATAATATATGTAGGTTAGTAGTTTTATGTTTGGTATTATTTCTCTTAGTTTAAATCTAAAATTAGGTTTCACTTTTAATTTTGTTCTGTATTAATTTTCACATATAATACAGAAGAAAGTCCTTGTTCGCACAAATAGGTTGTGCAAAAGGATAATAAAAATTTTATAGCTTTATTTGAAATGCCTTTAATTTTTTTTTTCCCTCAACCAAATGTTGAAAAGTGTGTTAATTTTGAAATCTTCAGTTAGAATTCGATCACAGGTTTATTTCTACAGTCAAAAGTCGTTAATCCAGACTCGTTGGGACTTCGGCGTTTCCGGATTATAGATCATCAGTTTAAATCTGGTAAGATGGCATGCAGAAATTATAAAATTAAAAATATGAAAACCATAATTTAAGAAATAAGAACACTTATGATCTAAGGTACAAATTTACAAAAAACAAAAAAAAAAAAAAAAAAAAGCACTTTATTTATTTGTTTACTTTATTAAACATTTCTTTCAGTGTAGTTGTTTAGTCGCTTCCGTTTTATGTGATAATATTCTCTTTAATTCTTATAACAGGCAAATTTCTTGTTCGTTACAAAGTTCGCTGTTCAAGTCTCTAATTGCTGTGTCGAGATACCGACTTATTGTCAATCGAAATTTTTTCGTTTTCAATAACCTCTACACTTTCTTCGCTTTGGAAACGAATTATAAGATGAGGAATTTTGATTTAAATCATATCAAAGACGGAGTACATCGAGATGAAATACTACATTTAATAAGGAATTATAAGTCAAATAAATAAAAACATCTGCCCTGAAGATAGGATAGTTGACAGATCAACTTCCAATTCATGCGCGCCCCGGCGTTAAAGATAAAACAGTGAGATAATAAACGTTAAAGCTTAGATAAACAAAGATATGCCTTAGCCATTTTTTTTGCATCAATTCCACTTTTTTTAATTGACTTCGAAACATACTTCGCTTGTAGATCCTTTACATATTAGAATAATATCGAAATTCTATTGACATAATCGAAAGTTCAAGCTTACTTTATAAATTGCTCTAACGTCTGCAAAAAATAATAAGCCGGATCCAATTCGAAGATTAAGGAACAACGCATCTGCAACATTACTGAAATTATTTTAGCTTAGCTATACCGTCCGTTATAAAAACGCGCATTTGTAAACGTATTTGCGCACGCGCACACGCATATTCGCAGCCGTAAGGTTTTACGCATGCGCAGAACGTTTGTAGCTTTGAGGTCCAGATTATAGATCATTCCGGATTATGGTGTCCGAATAACGACTTTGCTGTATTAGTTGTCTTTTTTCATGATAAAATTTCAGGTACATTTGAATAAATGATTATAATCCAATTTTCTTTTTATAATCCTCAGGAAAAAAATTTAAGTTTTTATCAATGAAAAAAATGTTAATGTCGGATGCTTAATCTTTTTTTAATTTTAAAATTACTTTCAGTTAGAAAACTTTTTAAAAGGGGTAAAAAGCGTAAAGTATTATTATCCAATTTGTTGATTATTAGCTCGAGTTTTTTTTAATCATTGCATTTATTTTCTCTCTAATGTTAAATAAATTAACACTTTGTCCTTGTAATCTTAAATTTAATTCAATTAACTTTCCAGAAATATCAGCTAAATATGCTTAACACACAAATCATAATTCACTTAATAAACATTTTTGCAATTCAAATTTTCAATCACAGAGAAAAATTTGAATTTCTGATCTAAGTTAAAGAAATAACCACCTTATTTGAGAATCAAACAAATGTGTTTCGTGTTCACTGCCCATCTCTGGGCATAAAATCATAAATATTGTTGAATTTAAAGCTCGGCTTTGAATAAATTAACAATTTTCATAGCTTGATTCAAAATGATTTTCATGTTTTTGGGGATTGTTTTGGTTACTAAAGTTTGACAATGAATGGATCAGTGAGTAAATTTAATTTGAGGTGTGACTTTCTTTATTCGAGAAATAACACCAGAATGTTTTCCTGTTAAAGCCCGAGCTCTGCATACTGCAATGCATTAATTCCAAGAAATATCATTCCCAGATATAAATTTGTCAGTTACTCTGAAAATTTCATTTGCAGTTGCTCTATCATGATGAGATTCACAAAATAAATGCTTTTCAGCAATTCGGTTATCTTCTTCAAAACACATGTTAACTAATAATTGAACAAAGTTTTTTATATCAGTAGTTTCATCCGGTGGCACGAAATATTATCAAATTCATTAGCTGCGTTTTAATCGAATATGTTAAAACAAAATCTTTAGCTGTTGATAATATAAGTTTTCTCCAATAGTGTGAGTCTTTGCAGTTCTCAGGCTTTCTAGGGAACTAGCTTCCAAAGCTTTTTGACTTTCAGTAATGAAAACCTTTAATTACTTGTGTACTATTTTTGAACTCCGATAATTTACTCTTAAAATATTCTTCAGATTTATCCTTTAAATTAGTATGCTTACATTCAAGATGCCGTTTAAGAAACAATAGTTTCATACTTTCATTAAATAATAGTTCAATGCAAATGACACATTGAGGTAAGCATCCATTTCATCTCCAAGTAAATCCAAATGATAAATAATTTTTATTATATTTTCAATAAATGATTCTTCATTTCTTTTCAATATTCTTAATGCTATTAGATTGTCCTGAATCCATCATCTATGAATCTTCTCTTTTCCGCTTAGACAATTCTATCCGTTTTTTCATTTTGAAAATCTAGGTTTGTTTTATTATTTTTTCACAAATATTTAAATGCACAATATATTGCGAGTTCTTCAAAAACAAATGACGATATTCTCAAATCGTGTAAGAAAATACAGAATGCAAAGCAACAAGAAGACAAAATACCTGCTGTTAGAGACAGCCAATAGATGTAAAATATATATATTATATATATATATATATATTGAAAATAAAGCACTATGAGCCCGGAAATAGTGGAACCATAAAGTGTAGACATACTAATAAGTCGATCAACTCTAAAAGAATTAATCAGATACTGTTATCTTTTTATAGGAACTTATTTTTATTTCCTACTAAATACAGCATCCATTTCTATTAGTCCTTCTAAAATCATCATTTATGACAAATTTTGTTATGTCTATGACTAAAAGAATTTTTGTAAAAATAAAAACTGATTGTTTTACTTAAGTCTGTGAGTGGCTACTGACCTGGAACAGAGCCCAGATTGCATAAATTTCTGAGTGTTAGAGAAAAAAACTCAAATAGGATGTTGGGGTATTTAATTTTTGAATTTAATTTTTAAAAATACTTCGTTTCTTTGTGTACCACCTATATTTCTCTTGCGTAGCACTGGTTGAGAATCACTGATTTAAATAATATGTTCATGAATCGAGGTATTTATGATTAGAGGTTTCGCTGTATGTCAAAATGAATGGTATTAAATCATATTGATCAAAATGAATGGCAAGACATATGTAACAAGAAATACTTTGCAAAGTTTTTCAAATTCAATTTTAGTAGGAGTCTGTAAGATCAGAGTGTTAATTTTGAAGCTGTTGAGGCTGCAGACAGTGTTTCATATACCTTGTAACTTTTCGTACTATTTATCTATAATATTAATATCACACAGCTCACTCTAAAGTGAAAAATTCATATTTGACAGAGAAGTGATAATAAATAAAAAAATTTATTATCAATAAAAAAATTCATAATTGTTAGAGATTTCATACTAAACAGCAGTTTGATAGCAACAATTTTGCAATTTTTTACTTTTAACGTTTGTAACAGCATTTAAAAATTATTTTATTACAAAATATCTGTTCTTATTATAGCTTAATATAGCTTGATGATATCTATTCTTATTATAGCTTGATGAAGGCTCACATATTTTAAGACTACCTACAAGTGAAATTAAGCAACATAAAGATATTGGTTGGTTTCCAGAAATAGAGGGATCTCATCTAATTGTTGAAGCAACTGTTGTAGATGATGCAACTGGAAAGAAAGAGAAAGCTTACAGTTCTAAAGCCATCTTTTCAAAGTCCCCATTTGTTATCTCGTTTAAGCGAAGTCTGAGAGATTTTAAACCTGGTCTTGTTTCCATCTTAGAGGTAAGCTAATTGAAAACAAATCTTTTATAAAGAGTTTTGGTCTTTTCATATACAGCAGAACTTCAAAAACTAGAATAACTTTGACCATGGGTTGTTGGGTTGTCAAAAACATCATGCTGTAGTGACTACCTTTTTCTATTGGGCTACATATGTTTTTTCTTTTAATAGAAATAAGTTTAGACTACAAAGTTCGAAATCCAGACATCCAATACCTGGAATAACCTAAAATTTGAATCTCCGGATCACCAACCTTTTTTTTTTTTTGCTTTATGTTTATGCATTTTATTTTTTCCCCTCATATAATAAAATATGGACAGTCTCAATTCTTAATTTCACTTCTTCACTGGTGCCAACCTGGTGAATCATTATTTATTATTTTTTCCTTTCATTACATCACTATCACCACAGTGCAGCTTAAGAAATGACTCATGACAATTTTTTTTTTTTTTAAATTTAATAATTGAATACCAAAAGCATGGTAACCTTTTTTGTTTACATTAAATTTGATGATGATTATAGACTTAAGTTAACTGTACTGTGAAGTGTTGAGTCTGTTGATGAGGAAAAATTTAACAGAAATTTCTTTCCATCTGCAAAAAAATAAATTTTGTTAATGATAATCATAAGCCAAAAGATTATATTTAGTGCTTTTTTAATTGAGAATAATTAATTTATTATTCAATTAAGCCTAGGACTGATGCAATGGGGGGGGGTGTGGCCACGCTGTGTGGCAGAATTTAGGGTAGGCAAAATTTTTAGAATTTAAAATGGAAAATTTTAGAATTCGGAATTAAAAAATGGAAAAATCTTTAGAATTTAGGAAAGGCAGTGAAATGCAGAACTTTTAGAATTTAGGAAGGCGCTTGGTAGCAGAATTTCGGATCGACAGAGACTGCATTGGGCATCAAAATGTTTAACACCATCCATGGGTAAGCCCTCAGTATACGTGAGAATTTATTTTGTCAGGACTCAGAAAAACCCTAAGCATGTATGAAAAATAGTTGTAAGTATAATAAATAACTAATATATTTCAGGCTTAACTTAGTATGTGATGGAAGTAAACAAAATTTAGTAGAACAACATGTCGTTAGTCGCCAATCTCACGATACATAATTAACAATGTATATCATCATGTTTTTCATTCCAATGACTGTGTCTCAGTCATCTCCCAATTACTAACAGACTGCAAAACCTGTAGTATGATTCTAAATCCACAAAATATTACTACAACAATGAAAAAAAAATTGATATAGAGAGGTTGTTGAGAATAAAAAAATTTCGATTGACAATTTAGTGGGAATTCTCAGTGCAGCAATTACAGGACTGGAACAATGAAATTTTGAAAACTGAAGAAGAAACTATGTCTATCTATAAATGAAAGAGAAAATATTAGCATACACACACCTTTTTAAAATATAGTTATAAAAATTTTCACAAGAAAAAAATTAAAATTGTAGAAGCGAGTTCATGATTGTGGTTGTTTTTTTAACATACAGGGAACAATATTGTTTTTTCTCAACCATTATTTACACAACATGAAAAATTAACCTACCTAAAACATTATTTTCCAGCCTTTAGATTAATAAATCTTTTCATGGCAGCTTTTACATTTATTTCCTTTACAATTTCATTTTCTATACACAAAACTACCAAAAAATTCAATCTGTCTTTAGAGAGGGATAAAGATAAATATGTTTGTATAAGCTTTAGTTTACTAAAGCTATAAGCTTTAGTTTACTAAAGCTTCTGTCGCCAGCAGCCACAGTAGTAAATAAGCATTCTTGTTAATGCAACTCAGATATGGCATGACATTTTGTAAGTTAATAGTGTTTATGAACCTAGCAGTTTCTGTTGGAAGCTTTACATCATCAGGAAATAATTCTTTGACCTTATTCAGTTCATGGTAGATCCATTAACATCACTATTTTCTTGATACTTATTCTCCAAATCCTAACATGGTATTGAGTTTATTTTTTTCTGGAAGATCTTTAAAGTCATTTGAAAATCCTCATGTAATATTGAAAATTTCCAACTGCTCAAATCTTTGTGAAAAATAATTAATATCTCTGCCCAGTACTACATCAAACCTGCAAATTTAATCTTTTTTCTAGGTCATCTACATTTGGGACCTCATCGTTACTCTGAGATTCAAACAGCATCATTCTTTTCCTTATACCTTTAAGAAATGGGCTGTGCATCTAATACTGTAGTTAATTCCTTTGCTTTACTGTAGGGTTTTTTCATATCCTTATGCACAATAATCAGTTAAGTAATTAGTGATGCTATACATTAATGAAACTGCAGTATATTTCCTCAGAGGTGTTCTCAATAGTTTTGCTGATAGCATTTGTCTTGCCTAAGACATACCAGATTTTATCATCACTAGAGAATCATAATCATCTATTTGTGTTACAAGAGTCTGTTTCTTGTTGCACTATGAGATCGGAGGAAGGCATTTCTGAAAGTTCATAGAGATTCTCAAATTCCCATGATCTCAGTTTTAATGGTTTTTGACACATGCTGTTCTGTATTTCCATCTGGTCTTGCATAGAGGTTTTGCAGTGAAGCAGTCAACATCTTTTTTCAATGCATGCCACAGCCCAGGAGAGACATAAAAAAAATACAGATTTGCTGTACAGTACCAAAAAAAAAAAAAGCATAATTGTTTCTATAGCAGGTTTAGAGCTAACCAAATGTCCCGTTATTGCAATATATTCTACATATAAAAATCATATTGCAAATGAAAGCTGCTTCATATAGCTTATATCTGGCACATAATCTAAAATAAGATTAAAATATTTCACCAATGTAGCTTGGTTAAGTATATTTTCCTGAATAGAATTTCCCAACAAATTATTTCATCCTGAACATTTTTACTCTAATAGTGAATGTAATTTTCTTTTGATACAACCCAACATAAATGTTCATTTGTTAAAGGAGATTTTCAAAGTATCTTAACAGGATCTAAATGCTCTCTTTAGTTAGTTCTGTCATTGTGTGGTGTAAATAATGTGTGAAGTTGTTCTGAAAGCCAGATTATGTTTTGCTAAATACTGAGTGATAAAATGTTCTAAACTTTACTCCGCTGCTGTTGTTCGTTTTTCACTTTGACTGAAGTTCGTTATCAGTAATTTTATTAGCAATGATCAATAATGATTTTATCATGAACTGATGCAATGATTTTATTAGCAATGTTTAAAAAAATTTTTTTAGACATTCCTGGTCATGTACTAAATTTTCATGTTACTGTAAGCATAAGCATGCTTCCAGTCATTAATTCCTGATTTTCCTTACATTGACTTGCTAGGAAGCCCAAAAATTCTGCAACGAAAGCAACAAACTTTACTAGTGCTTTCTCAATAAACAAGCCACCTTCTAAGAACATTCTCACCTTTGTTTATTTTCCTATGTGTCATTGTCACATATAACTAGGTTTATTTGGCTAGTATACTGGATTGCAAAATGTTCCTTTATTGCAATATATTCTACATATAAAAATCATATTGAAAAATGAAAGCTGCTTCACGTAGCTTATATCTGGCACATAATCTAAAATAAGATTAAAATATTTCACTAATGTAGCTTGGTTAAGTATATTTTCCTGAACAGAATTTCCCAACAAATTATTTCATCCTGAACATTTTTACTCCAATAGTGAATGTAATTTTCTTTTGATACAACCGAACATAAATGTTCATTTGTTAAATGAGACTTTCAAAGTAGCTTAACAGAATCTACTTGACATTTACTTAGGTTGAGTTTTTAAATTTACTTTCAACATTACCTGTACTTCCGGCTGTGAGCATGACATTATTTTTTTAAACTAAGCCTTCAGCCGCATTACAGTTTTGATCTTGATCTTTTAATTTATGCATGCTGTTATTTTCTTCAGAAAATACAGTAGTTTTAGTAGGTTTGACCGCACAATCATTAGAATATATCTGGACATATACATATGTAGCTGAAGAAGTTAAGCTGGTATTGTTTGCACTGTTTGACTTTAAAAAATTGATACCTTTGGGTGTTTTGTGGCTGCTTCTTATTTAAGATGTCTTTTTTTTTTTTTTTTTTTTTTTTTTTTTTTTTTTTTTTTTTTTTGTTTTTATAGCTGGATAACCTTTTGGAGGCATTTCTCAATTTTAAGATCAGAAAAAAGGATATAAATTTAAACTATCTACAGAAAACAAATAAAAACACTGTGATGCATGGTTATGAATGACAGAAAACAAAATAAAGGGAAAAAAAAGAACAATGTGAGAAACAAACAATAAAATGCTATTTATTTATTTATTTATTTATTCAGTAAAAGGTCAGTATCTGAAAACAGACACCAACAAAAAGTGCCATACCTCACAGTTTCAAAAGATGAACTCTTGTGACGCCTGATGACTTAATTAAGACCATCAAATATGAAGGTGATCATCAAAATGTGCAGCTTTGCTGTTGAACTAAAATATTTTATGTGTATGCCAAATTAAGGAGTTACAGTTCCAATTCTTATGGTAACAGCAAAGCTTTTTTTGTTTGTTGTTGTTGTTTATTTTAGAAAATAATAGTCATATAGGCTTGAGCCCTCTTTAAATGATTCATCACATTCCTAAACTGTTTATGCTGTTTCTTTCATTTCATTTACTGCTGATATAATAATAAAAATATGATATTCTAGTGTTACCAAGGCAATTCATTCTAGTTTCAGAAGTTATTGCAGCCAGTCTTGTTTTTTTTCTCCAAGATAACAGCCTATTGTGTTCAGACATGTGGAATTTTTTTTTGAAATTAAACATATATTAAAATCTAAATTAATTAACCTTAGATTAATGTGCAGAATCAGAAGGGAGCCTTTACAAACGAAATTAAATGTTAATAAAATTGCTGCTGCCTTTATGTTGAAAAAGAAGTTGGCAGATTTCATTCATTAAATATTCTAATAAAGATAATGTTTTTGAAATTACTGAACAAAGTTTCGAATGAAAGATTTTTGTACTTTTCGTTACATATAAGATCTAATTCTCATTTTTTGAAATGTTATATTTACTTGCTTTAATTCAGAGAATTAAGTGTGAGATAATTTTTATAACTGTTATTTTCTTTTTTTATAATTTTATTAATAGGACAGTATTTATAAACTGACGTATTTAGCATTTACTTAATATTTTTTTAACATACTCCCAAGAACCTTAAGTAAGAAGAGTCATCGTTTTAGAGGAGGTTCAATGCATTTTATTAAACAGATTTCTTTTAAATAGCAGCTACTTGGCTTTATTGTTTGATGAGCTGTTAGCATCAAAAATAAAAACCTTGATTATTTTAGTTTTATATCAGATTTAATTTAGAATGTTAAAACTGGCTGGCTGCATGCAATTTTCCTGTTGTAATAATGTCCATTAATACAAGCACATATGGACAATCAGGACTGGCATATTTATCAAATAAGGTTGCTGAGCACAGGGTAATTTCTATCATCTGATTTCTTTTATTAATTCACTATAATTTTTAGTTTTGATTGTTTTTAAAATTAGTTTTTAATGAATATACTAATTCATTTAAGAACATAAAGAAATAAATAGAATTATTTGGAAATAATCACATTTAAAAATGGTAGCAATAATATCCATATTTCTATTATCCAGTCAGCAAAATCCTCAAATAGCTGACATCCCTGAGCTAATGAAAGTCACTTTCTGAGGTTATTTCTCAAAACCAATTTGCAAAATATCATTGCTAATTCAAATAACTGACATCTGTACTGGATGATTTTGTTCTGGCAGAATGTCAACGAAGGTCACACTTTATGGGGTTGGATAGTGTATATGGTCATTGTTATTTATGTTTGCATTTATAATGCTAAAATCCCTTTAAAAATATTCTTAAATTTTTTTATATATGATTATAAGGTATTTTCTCCCTCCTTTCTTCATGCCTTCATGATGTAATGGTAGCACACTTGGAGCGCATTCAAGAAGTCCAATTTCAAGTCCTGGTGAGGGAATCTCGGTTCATTTCTTGTGTTTCGTACTTAAAAAATCCTAATGCCTCTAAAATTCTCCTCTCTCTCTCTTCTCACCTTTTAGTTCAGTGGCACCTGAACTAAAAGGTGGTGATGATGATTCTTCATCACCAGGATTTGTTCATAAAGTCACCCTCTAAACCAATCACCAGGCATGCTGGAAGGAGGGAGAAAATACTCAAGGTGGAGTATTTTCTCCCTCCTTCCAGTGTGCCTTCGGGATGTAACGGTTAGCACACTTGGGGTGTATTCAAGAGGCCGAGATTCGAGTCTCTATAAGGGCATTGCTCATTTTTCACGCCTTCTGCTTCAAAATAACCTAATGTCTGCATGATGAAGGATTTCACTTTGATAATATTTCCTTGCTGTGCAGAATTTTGATTGTTTATTATGTACTTCTTGGCATTTTAATAGTAAGAATATGAAACTTTATTATTAACTATATAATTCATATCAAATTTTTCTTGCTTTTCTCAATAATCAACTTATTTTACTTACAAAGAGTTTCTGCACTTGCACCTTTCTGCCAGTTTTTATGAAACACAAGGCAATTGTTAGTTTTTTTATCATTGTATAGGATGCAAAGCCTTGAATTTAGCTTTTTTTTTAAAAAAAAATTAGTCTTAATTTTTAATCATTTACTACATACATTTTTAATTAGTGGCCATTTAATAATCAAATTTTCTCTTTGACACATATGCTTGTGTCTTTTTTATATCACATTAAATATTTAAACCTCTCCAATAAAATAAGCTGTGATTTCTTGATGATGGAAGTAAAAATCTTATTGATAATGATTTAAATAGTCTAATAGTTCTTTAGAAACCATGACTACAGTGGCAAAATTAAAGTTCTACTGAAATTTGTATTCTGTATTGCAGTTACTGTGTTGATGTTTAAAAACATGTTAATGGTTGTATTAATAAAATATGTATTAATGCTTCATCATAGCTAATTACTTAATAAATATTTTAAAAATCAATCCAACTTGCAAATTTTGCCAGTCTCCTAAAAGTACCTAACATATCATAAATTTATGTCTTGGAGAAGATATTTTCCAATATTTATGTAAATCTTTAAACGCTTCATACGTTTTTCTAAAAGTTATCTTTTATATTTTAATTTTAGATGTGAGTATAGTAATTTATTTACATATTGGGAGGAAAAGAGTTAAAGGTACAAAATTTGGGAGGGTCTTTTTTGAATTATAATAAAAAATTACCTTTTACTCATAACCTTTTGGTGAAGTTTAGGGCTTTGGGACCATACCTTTGTTCACTTGGAGGATTACTGTATATATTTTAAGAGTCTTGATTTTAACATAATGCTTGATGCAAAACAAACTACCACTAGCTCCCTATGTTGTATTCAATAAGAATGTGTCTACATAAAGTATAAAGCTATTCATTTTAAGGAACACAGTGATATATAGTCTGTAATGCAATTTCATGGATTTATGAGAAAATATATCTTGTTAACCTGCATTATGAGATTAGGATTTACGTCAAGAATAGAATAATTTAAAGGTTTCTCTAAAAAGGGAAAAAAGGGGGCCATTCTTATTATTAAAAGAGTATGGTATCAAGGAGTGTCTTTTACTGGTTAGATAAATCCTTTTTATGATGTACTTTGAATACATTAATTTCTTCTAATATCAAATGTATACATATTAAAAATGAGTTTGCAATAATATTATATTTTATTATTCTAGGCCAATGTGAATTTTGTTGATGGTAAACCTGCTTCTGGAATCTTAACAAAAATAACAGCAAAGGTAAATGGTGAAGTTTTGAAAATTAAACATGACACTGCAGTTAGTGATGATGAAGGCAAAGTTTCTTTTAAGCTGCAACCAGAAATGCATCATGAAATAGTTTCCATTACAGTGAGTTGCCTTTTTTTTTTAACTGCTCAGTTTCTGAGTTAAGATTTTTGCTACTTATTTAATTGTTTTTTTTTAGGTGGAAACAATTGATCCAAAATACAATGGCAGCCAAGCTGTTGGTCATCATGAACAATACAAATTTAAATCAAATAACAATGCTTATTTGGCTTTGGAAAGAAGCAGTGGGCAAAAACTGAAGGTGAATAATATTTGTGTTACTTGATTTATTGAAAATTATTCTGTAAATTTCTTAAAAAAATTTGTAATTTATTGAATTTATTGTAAAATCAATGGCGGGATTTTGTGGAGCTCTTATGTTACGTAAAAGTGCATATATTTCTGTGTATTAGCTTAGAAATTTTAGCAAATCTCTTTTATTGCCAAAGAGTGGGTGGGTGACTTAAATACAAGTTCAAAGTGATTTATTTATAAATAACTCAGTCACAAAAATTATATTATAGGTTAAATAGCCGAAAAAAAATTTTTACTCTATTTAATTTTCATATACATTAATCAAGTTTTTCAATATCAGTATCTGATTTGGAATTTTCTAGCAATTTTCAGAGGTCTTTCTCTGCTAGAGAGGAGTCTGATTGAATATGACTCTTGACCATTAGCACTGTTATCATCCATCTCATAGATAATATCATCCTTAGCATTGCTCAGCAAACGTGATAGTTTTTAGATTGAGACTAACAGAATATGTAATCCATTCTTGTCCAGGCATCTTGTGCTTCATATATAAAATCAAGAGCAAAACTGAAAGGGGGGGAGTTCTTGTGATTGCTCGAAAATGGCTATCACAACTGAGAACAAAAATAAAAGTCACCTTGCTTTTGCCAAAGACACATGCAAATACATAGAAACATCGATGACAGGAATTGAATTTAGGTAATAAATAAGTTAGAGGCTATGATCTGGAGAGTATGGCAGATGGTACAGCATTTCCCAATTCTATACAGTAAGCAGGTTACAGACAATAATATAACCCATATGGCAATGGATGCAAAGAAGATAATTAGTAATGTGCTTACCAGGTGGTGCATTTATTTTGTGGATTGCTATTTGAGAAATAACAGTACACAGCATGCATAGTTTTTTATTGAATACTTTGTGAATTTGGATTACATTATAACAGCTGTGTGCAACGTAAACACAGCTTTTTTTGGGACTTTCTGGAGTTCACGTTCAATTTTTTGACATCAGAAATAGGTGACATACTTTCATATGTTTAATGTGTAAGGAAACTGCACTTTTTGTCTCTCAGTGTCAGATGTATAAAGGTAAGAAATTCTGAGTTTTAGCCTAATCATTGAGAGTTCATGCAGTGGGGAAAAATTTATCTGTATTGTAAAGCTTCATGTATAATTTGAAAAAACAATGAACATTATGATTTCTGAGTAAAATATTCTGTAAACAATAAAGCATCTGTCTTTGAGCTTATGAGTGGGTTTGCTATGGGAAAATGCTACCAAGTGCATTTTTATTGTATTTCATTATGATTCTTTTATGGTTGGAATGCATTTTATAACTTAGGAACCATGTTGTCCTTTAATTTTAAATGAAAATGTATGTTGGAGCTATAATTAGCTGATAATTAAAAGTTTGGGCACTGAATCAGAAACCTTATAATCAAAATTACCAGATTCATTTCATTATGCAACTGAAATTATCTGTGTTATTCAAGTTTTGGGAGACTGTACACGAATACTTTTAATCATGTATGTTATCAAATTAAAATTTATAATTATTACCATGTTTGTTAAACCTGTATGATTATGTACATAAATATGTGTTTAATAAATATATGTTAAAATTACTGAAGTCAGTACATTTTTATGCAGAATAACTTAATTTTTATATGGCTTTAAAGGCCACTGACATTTATTACAGTTTTCATTTCTCTGAGAAATCTGTTTCATTCATATAATTAAAAAAAAAAAATAAAATAAAAAATAAAAACGAAATTCTTCCGTTTACAAAAGCTGTTTAATGTGGTAAAGAGCCATATATGTAACCAAGATTTATTTTGTAATGGATGGGGTAAAAATATGAATATAATGCATATTTTACTAAAAGGGGTTGTAACTGAACTTGTAGTGCAATCAAACCCTTGTATAGTGAGCTTCTTTATAATGAACCTCCACATGTAATGAATAAAATTTTTGGTTCCATCCTATTTCCTATACATTTAATGTTACTTGCAGCTATAATAAACTTCTAAACTTAGAAAATCAAATGTAACAAACTTGTTAATATCCTTATTTCTTCGTTGGGATGATAGTTAAAAACCTTTATGTTGTTTTTATCTTCACCTCCATTTTTCTCTAACCAAGGCAGGTATAAAACCTAATGCTTGGAGAACCAGGACACTCGAAAAACATATCTTATGATATTGTGTCTGTTATATATCCTTAGTAAGTAATTATTTCACAAGATACTCTATTAAACTACATGCTACTTTATTATATACAAAAGACCTCATCACTCTCTTACACACGTATCCTACAACTACTCGCATTCCAGTCTTTGTTCTAGTTTACAATTACTTGCATTTCAGTCTTTGTTCTGGTTTACAACATTTCTTCAGCCGACTTAGCTGGCCGACAATATCTGAGATAGCTCACCTATCCACATGGAACGATTTTCTCGTTAGTACAGGAATTCACTCAGCCAATCACTGTGAAAGGAAGTGTTCCTGCCCTCTACAGCATCACACTGTCTACAGTTTGTAAACAAAGCTTACAGTGTTGTCAAATAGTCAAAATTTAATGGCTGACTATTTTAGTTTAAATTGCTACTATAGATACAGCTACAATTTTGAACGTAGCTACTGCGCTGCAGAAGGCAAAGAAAGAAAGAAAGAAAATGTGTTTGAATCAGAAATTGGGTCAAACGATGAGAAATTCATGGTGCCTTCGTAATACCCTGCTCCAGGAGTTGCCTATTGAAGACATGGTACAATTCGGAAAGTATTTACGGATGATGCCGCATGATTTAGATTTTTTGCTAAATTTAGTTTGCAGCAGAATTAAAAAAAAATATATATATATGCTTTTTCTTTGTGTACTTTACACAGATTACTCCTTTTTTTTATTTTATTTATTTATTTATTTTTTATTTCATTTTATGGCACTCCTATTTGTGCACTTAAATCTTGAAATAATAAAATAACCATGTTTCAGAAAAAAATAAGTAACTACTTTAAATCAAAACCTTTATTAATGAATAAATAGACAATAATGTCATGAATATCAAACCAGTATGAGTAAAAAGTAGTAATAAAGAATAAAGATTACTACATTACAAAGCAACAGTGTAATTTCAGCGCAGAAATTTCAAATAAGAAATATCATAAAGTTTCAAAGTCTTAAGTAGTATATTTATTGAACATTAAAAAACTAATATCAGCATAATTAAATAACTAATACAGTCTGGAAACTATGATCATATGACTCTGTCAGTTAATCAGCTAATAAAATTTAGCAATATTGTATTAAATTTGGCTGTAATTTGTTTTCGCAGTCAATTAGCACAAAACTGTATTTATTTATGACTTGTGACTTTTGAGCTGGTAAACTACTGAAGTTTTCACCAGTAGATCTAAAACACGTGCCAGCAACCATTCGAAAGATAAAAACAATAGCGTTAAAATTCAATAAACACCACACTCATAGGCGAAAAAATAAAAAGTGACTTTTAAATCATGCAGTTCATATTTGGTGATGGAGAAATGAAATTAAAAAGTTCTTGCAGGCGCAGAAATCCCAAAATCAAGGTAAGGGATCAAACCCATGATCTCCATGTATGGAGAAAACCTGTTCTGCTCTTTACCACTGGGCTATGATCGCTCGTATAGGAGGTGTCGAAAAAGCTATGTACTTCGTCACCTGATTAACACCCATTTCCCCATTAAGTCAATTAGTCTCTGCACTGTTTTAAATTGGCCTGTAATTTCTTGATTGGAGATTTTGCTTTCTGAATTTTTTCAATAAGTTTGACCATAGTTTCAAGTAGTTTCTGAATATTTTCATCTAGTACAAATGACATGGCATCATTTATAATTTTTGGAACTTTTCTTGGGGGAGTAAAAATAATTTTCACCCCGAATAGAAAATATTTGAATATATAAAGGAATGGGGAAGACAAGCTTACCAAAATAAGAGAATCCCTTAATTTTTTATTTTTAAAATTTACATTACTCGTGTCCCACAACACAACATTTTCTCTATAGAAATCTATTAGTTGAGTTCGCTCCAACGAAAGGCAGCCATGTATATTATTCCAAATGAGGAGAAAAGCACGTCATCACTCAAAGCAATCTTATTGGCTAGAGACTCCGATTTTATCGTACGCTAGTGAGCAGTGAAACCAGTTCTGAAATCGCGGCAGAGAACATGACCGATTTTTGGCGCATGCGCAGATCCTTAAAATTGTTGCTCTACGAGAAAGTAGGCCAAGAAAATCGCTTCATGTAGATGGGCCTTTAACCGTGTTCTCCAATTCCATTGACTCTTTTTGGTTGAACTGTCAGGCAGAGCTCTGTTTAAAGTTGGTGCTGAGATGGAAATTGCAAAATTTTTGCTCTTCAAAGAAAAAGGAAGCAGTGAATAAATCTTTGTGATCTTGGCACTGTTAGGGAATAGAAATTTTAATATCCTTTTCAGTTTGCTTTAAGTATTTCAAACACTTTACAAGTTTAGTTGTCTGAATGGAGGTTTTTGGATTCTTTAGGTTTTTTGCAACTTTATGATATTCTTTAAAATGGCTATCATATACAGTAAAAAGTCCAGAATCCGGATTCGTCGGGACTTCGGCGATGCCGGATTAGGGGTTTTGCTGGATATGACAGAGAGGTTATTGAAAACAAAAAAATTTTGATTGACAAGTTAGTCGATATTCTCGACACAGCAATTACAGGACTTGAACAGTAGAACTTTGTAACTAAACAAGAAATTATGCTGATCAGAAATTATGCAAATCAATTAGCTCATCAGATCATCAATTTAAATCTGGTAAGATGGCATGCAGAAATTATACATTTAAAAATATGAAACCATAATTTATGAAATAAAGAACAATTATGATCTAAAGTGTTATCAAAATTTACAAAAAAAAAAAAAAAAAAAAAAAAAAAAAAAAAAAAAAAGCTTAATATTTATTTGTTTACTTTATTAAACATTTATTTCAATGTAAGTTCTTTAAGTTGCTTTGTTTTTGATGCTAATACTTTCTCTTAGTTCTAAAAACAGACATAATTTCTTGTTCAGTTACAAAGTTCCACCTATTGGAAGCGGTATTTTCTGGATCTAGAACCATACTACAGATTTCGCCGTCCGCTAATTGATTGATGATTGGGGCATTGTCGTCGCAATGAAAAACTTTTGTTATATCATCTTCATTTATTACCACTTCTCCGCATTTCTTTACAAAATCCAATAACTGGAAAATTTCACCTTTAGTTTGCAATGTCCGAAAATCTTCAAATTCGCGGCTATCATCTTCATCGTCCTCACCATGAAATATGGTAGCTGGCCATAAATTATGCCAAGCATTTTTTAACGTATCTGGAGACACATCCTCCCAACGTGCATACGCATGCTTAAAAATGCATGCATAAAGCGTACAAAAAAAAAGTTTGTGGCTTTGTGGTCCGGATTATAGATCATTCCAGATAATGGACATCTGGATTACGGCCTTTCTACTGTATTTGCTTTGAAACCATACATACCTTTCAAAAATGTATGTGTTCTTAATGAACACTGTCTAAGATGTATTAGTGACAAAATTATCTTCCTTTTTTACCTTTTCCAGAAAACAAAACTTCACTTTTTTTTTGACACATATTCATTTCGCATATTCTTTCTCTCTTTGTATTTGTGAAAATTTTCTGAGTCATAAATTCATTTGAAAGGAAATTAATTTGATGCAATGCATTGGCATCTGCAATTCTTTTCTGAAACACAATCAAATTGATCCATTTCTAAAACGACTGATTGCTGGTGATGAAAAGTGGATAGTTTATGCACTACAAAGTCCGTAATCTGGACGTCCATTATCCAGAATGATCTATAATCCGGACCTCAAATCCACAAACTTATACATGTGCGTAAAGCGTTTACCCATGCACGCTTCCGATAGTGAAGAAAGCGACAGAGAGGTTATTGAAAACGAAAAAATTTCGATTGACAAGTTAGTCGATATTCTCGACACAGCAATTACAAGACTTGAACAGTGGAGCTTTGTAACTGAACAAGAAATTATCCCTGTTTATAGAATTAAAGAGAAAGTATTAGAACAAAAACAAAACAACTTACATTAAAAGAAATGTTTAATAAAGTAAACAAATAAATATTAAGCTTTTTTTTTTTTTTTTTTTTTTTTTGTAAATTTTGATACCGTTCAGATCATAATTGCTCTTTATTTCATAAATTACGGCTTCATATTTTTAATTCTATAATTTCTGCATGCCATATTACCAGATTTAAATTGATGATCTATAATCCAGAAAAACCCCTAATCCGGCATCACCGAAGTCCCGATGAGTCTGGATTACAGACTTTTTGCTGTAACATGGTTAATCAAAGATCGTGGGTGGAGCAGGATGAACCAACCCAAACATCAAAACTGAGATTCACCAAAAAAAGATTTAAGTCAATTTGATCAGATTATAAAAGAATTGTCCACACTAAGAAACCAAACGGTTAATTCAAACATTAGCGTTCAACAACTCATCAAACTGAGAGATGTTGTTCAAGAAAAACGGCAAGAATTGGCAAATCATAAGGGTGTTTTTTTCCCCCTACATGATAATGCAAAGCTCCACACATCTTTGATCACTCACCAAAAATTATTGGAACTGGAATGGGATGTATTGTCACATCCATCATATAGTCTTGATCTTGTGCTTTCAGATTTCCATTTATTTCATTTCCTGCAAAAGTTCTTAAATGGCAAAATTTTTAATAATGCTGCTGATGTAAAATCTCATTTGATTCAAGTTTTTTGCTGATGAAAATGAGAAGTTTTATGAACATGAATTTAGACACTGCCTGAAACATGGTAAAAGGTCATCAACAAAAATGAACAGTACATAATAAAGTTATATTTTCCTTCTTATTTAAAATTTACAATCACTTATTTGCCAGGTCAGTATATGGCATGCTGTAAATGCATTATTCATTGAAAATAAGACAATCATTATTTGAAAAATATAGAATGGATGTTGCCAAACTGATATCTGTAGGGAATACAATTTATCCAAATTTACAGATGGTACCATAAAATCGAGATTTTCATTTTTACTCGTGAAAAAATTTGGATATGAGGAAAAGAGCTTAGAAAGACCAAGTCTAAGGATATTGAAGAAGCATTACTACAATGTTTCTCCACTCAAAGAAGCCACAATCTGCCAATATATGGACCAATGATTGGGATAATGGACAGTGAATTTGCCACACAATTTGGAGAGTTTTATTGGGCTCGAATATCTCATTAGCAGGGCCACATTAATACCTTTAGAGGCCCTAAGTTTTTAAAAGATTTTGGTATATGTTTATGCCAGTTTTTCTTCATTCCTTCTCTCTTTCAGTTTTAGTTTAGTTACACAATACATTCCATGATAGAAATGGCAATTGGAAACATTTTGGTGCCCCTATTCTTTGATGCTGCTAAGTACGTGTTTCTATTGCTTAATGGTTCATTGGGCAGTTAAAAGAAACAGGGCAGCATTATTCCTGGGAAAATATTTGAAGAATGAGGCTGTTGAAAAATGGGGGGGGCAGAGATTGGTATGATACAGTCTAAAGAAAAGAAAACATTTTTATTGCTGATGAAACTGGGCTGTTTTGCAAGATGATGCCAACCAAATGTTGAAATTTAGAGATGAAAGATTCACTGATGGAAAATAGTCAAAAACATGAGCTATAGTTCTAATAAATAGAACTGAGAATCAAGCTTTTTACAACTGGAAAATATCAAAAGCTGAGATGTTTAAAAAAGTTAAAATTCCTGTATTGTTTAAAATTAAAGTGAAACTGAAAATGCATTGGAAATAAAGTTAATATTGAACATAATATTAATTGCAATTAACACTCAATATTTTTTATTAAATTAGAATTACTGTTAATTTTTTTAGGTAGATATGGGAAATGTTAATCTTTTTATTTATTTATTTATTTATTTTTGTATGATTTATCTTCCAATGTTTGCACCATTCTGTGAGATAATCCATTTTTGCTGTCAGAAATGGATATGACAAATGTCAGAATGGATATAAATTCAACTTGACGAAAACCTACCTTGTTTGATTCTGGAGTCATTAGGACAAGACTTATTCTTTAAGATCTGTTTGTTCATACAACCTTCATTAAAGAGCCTGTATAATGTGTAATATTTTTCTGTTTTTTCTCTTCCTGTAGCGTATTCAATTTTCATCTAATTTTAATATTTGTTTTTCTTTTTAAGCCTGGAGATGGGTTCTTGAAGCTGGTTCATATTCATCCACCTGAAATAAGTGATATATATTACGTGGTAAGGTTTCTTTATCATTGTTCAATTGATCTTTTATGAAATATTGTTGAAACAACATTAGTTACGATACTTTTGGAATAAATAATAGTTCTTAATGCTAAAATCATGCTTTATTAAATTTTATGTTTTATATTGCTTTATATGATATTTATAAATACTGACTCGGTTTATTTTCAGGTTGTTTCTAAAGGTCAGATCATTTCTATGAATAAATTACCACCAGGCAAGTTTTTGTTACACAAAGTAGAATTTGATATCACGTATGACATGGTTCCTAGTTTTAGACTTGTAGTGTTTGCACACTACAATGATGAACTGATTGCAGATTCTTTACAAATTGATGTTCAGCATGTGTGCCATCCCGAAGCTGAAGTAATTCATGGTTTTCTTAATCTTGATCTGTGATAAGTCAGATAAATCACATATATTTGTAATGTATTTGAGTTACAGTTTTAAGAAAAAATTTAATTATTATGCCACTCAATTAAAATTTTGTTATGAAAAACCAACCAATTTATAAAACATGCAATGTGTTCAAGTAGATAAAATATTCATTATTCTGCAGCAAATTGAACTCTGTGAAGTTTGTTAATATAGTGTTTGATCAGCTATTATGTTTCAGTCTTCAACATTTTTGCTGAAATTGCCAGATTTGATATTGCCAAAATTTACATATGCTGGCATGTTTTTATTTGCAGGTTTTGTTTTTTATATAAGCCATTTGAATATTCTGAATTTGAATAAGCCATTTGAAAATTCTGAATCTGGCAATGATATTGCCTCAAACCTGATTCAATATTACATAGGTTTCTGTTGAACATGCATTTAAATCTTTGTGATTGAATCTTAAAGATTGTGCACTGGTCAATAAATGCCATTTTTCACATGCCACTACTTTATAGTAAACTTATAAAATATCAGTATATCATTATCCTGATAAGACAATGAAGGAAACTTTCATTCATTGGATCCTAAGGATTAAGTTACATTAAAGTACACATGCAAATAGATACTAGTTCCTATATGTTAGGTTTATGCTATGTATATATGCTGTACTTACTCGAAAATAAGATCGTCTCAGATATGAGATCCTCCTTACAATTTAAGATAAATTAAAAAAATAAAAGTATAGGTGAATATTTATTTTGACATGCAGTAACAGAAAAGAGAAGAGTGTAAGTGTTCTGTAGTATAAGTAAGTGCATTTAGGAACAATGCCAAAACAAAAATGAAATAAGAAATTTACATCTTTCCACTGTATGGTCATCAGGGAGTTGATCCCATGAAAGAAGTAACTTTATTCTGTGAAAGTTTCTTTTGGGATGTAGAATCCAGGTAATTCAATGGTTTTCCTTTTAAAAATTTTTCATTTTCACTACACCATATTTAACGTTACAATGGACGTTATTTCAAAGTATTTTCAATAATAATAATCAAGTAAATTTTTAGTTTATCTAAATTCATTACTAAGCACATTTTAGGTTTAGCTACTACAGATTGAATATATTTTTTCATTTTTAAACTTTTGTTTGCTCTAATATTCTGTAATATTTCAAAACTTCTATTGCTCTAAGGTTACAGTTTTTAAGAACTATTTCCTCTTAATATTTTTTAGGATCAGATTTCATCTCTTTTTTTTCCTTTCTTCCTATATTGGATTGCTTCTGTTTTATGTGTTTTTTGGACTCAGATCACTTAAACGGAAAATTACTATTTTTATTTGATTTTGGTGATATAATTTTTTTAAAGAAGTTTGGGTTTCCAAATTTACCTATGCTGGCTTGTTTTTATTTGCTGGTTTTGTTTTTTTGACCCAGTCTGCTCAAAATAATATTTAAAAAGTGTGTTTATTTTTTGTTGCTATAATTTTACAATTCTTTGCACTACTTAGTTCGGTCTGTAGGGGCTAGACTGAGAAAGATATAGATTACTTTGATTGTTTTTCTAAGATTATTTTGAGTTTTAAATTTTGTGCATTTATTGGTTCAGAAATAGTCTAAATTATTTATTTACTTCTTTAGTTGTGCCAACCCCCTGATGGCAGGGCAGTGAAAGGTGTAAATTTATTATTTCATTTGGCATGTTTTTGTCCTCATTTTCTTGCAGATTGCCACTGTGCTTCTAATAATTTGTTTTTACATATGTTTATTCTAAATTAAATATGGGATAAATTTAAAATGTATTAGTTTTTTTATTTCTTTTGCATTCTTACCCACTGTGCTTCTAATAATTTGTTTTTACATATGTTTATTCTAAATTAAATATGGGATAAATTTTAAATGTATTAGTTTTTTTTATTTCTTTTGCATTCTTACAACCACTTGTTGCTGCTTTCAGAGTGCAATTGAATTAGGGTTTGAATTGCTTTTTACTTTGCATTTTTTTCATTATAATATATATATATATATTGAATGAACTAAAATTCATTGAACAAAATATGATGGCTGCTTTAAGAATAACTGGCGACCTTATCAGGTTCAATGTTCCTTCTAACCTTCTTCGGAAACATGCAAGGACCTGACTCGGAACAGAGAGCTTACTAAAGCTATGTTCAAAACTGTGGGAAGTAAACAGGATACACAAGAAGGGTATACAAAACCCTTTATTTTTCTCTATTTACAATGACTTCCGTACTTCGGAATACATCGACCCACTACTTGGGGTCAAAACGTAAAAGTATAAAAATAAAACTAAACTCTAATTTAACTTTAGAATAATAAACGTGGAAGATTGGCCTTATATTAACAGGAAGCGTATGTAGTACAGAGAACTGTGAACACTACAATACGTTTAAAATTTATCAAGAGGATTAAAAAACGTCTGGCCTGGAAGGCAACAAGCAACTGCGTAAAACTTCTAAGGTAAGCGGCCTGCTTCGACTCACTGCTTCCTCTCTCTCGCTTGGCAAAAAGCCACAATTTAAATACTTGGCGTTCGCCAGACAAACTTTGCATAAATACCTTCACGCTTATAATTCTGGCCGGAAGTAGAAAATAAGAAGTGATAGTAAAGATTTAAAATAAAATAAACGTTAATAAAACTTAAGATCCTTACATACTTCCCGCCAGAGTTAATTAGTTTGAAACTGAGGTCTAAAACGACCTTGTTGAAAACTTTTAGCTCTAGAATCTAACGCGAGGCCAATCTTTTACAAACATTTTTTTCGCTAGAAAAAAACTAGAAATTTAAAAGAAAAGAAATTTGTTTTTACAATAGCAGCTCCCAGGATACACAATTTTTTTTTCATCTGTACTGCATCTAAACAGGAGCTCTTATTCAAATCTGGTTCCTTCCAGAGATCTGGAAGGAAAACTAGTTTAATGAAATGTTACACAATGAAATGGCAAGTAACATGTATAATTATATTTCTCTTAACATTCTTATTTCATTCATGACTATTTTAATTATCTCTCCCCGTGCTCTCTGACATGTGTTGTAAAAGAACACCAAACACGAATGTGTTTTTTCTGTCTACGTGTTCCACACTTCCTCCTACAATCAAAACACTAACGTGTTAAAATTCAACATAACAAGACCTCTTAACACACCCTAATTTCAACTCTAAACCCTGAGGTACTATTCTGAAAGTGTCTAACTCTGAAGTGTAGCGTCAGAGAGCCTAACTACATCATTCAACCTTTAACACATATTCACCATGATCTAGACTTTTTACAGTCACAAAAAAAAAAAAAAAAAAAAAAAAAAAAATTAACATTCACTTTTACCATATCACGGTATTTCTTAACATTTAAAATAACAGTTCACATTGTATATAAGAACATATCAACATGCCGTTAATTTTACACATTTGAAAACATACATTAGTAGTACATTGTTAACTTCTATTCTTTTCAAAGCAAGTGCCAATTCTTTCTACATTGAAATACTACATTTCAAAAAGTCTTTCAGACTAAAACTTCTTCTTTCTTGCTAGAATGTTTTAAATAAAATTTATACAATAACTTTTTACAATATTTAAGTCTTTACACAACGCTATTATACATCAACTTTAGTTTTACGCGCGAGTAATTGAAAAACATAATACCAAAATCGGTAACAACTCATTTCTCGCCCTTTTGGCGATAAAGGTAGACCTCGCATGAGGTAAAACTTCTTGAAATCTGCCACTTGCAGTAAGAATGAAAGATTAACTTAAGTTTGCAAAGTAACATAAAATTTTACTTATCTTTGTGATATTCGGACATCCTTTTCTGGGCCCAGTCCTGGAAAGGTATTGCAGATTCGTAGTTTGATTTATCCTCCTTCTTGTACGGGCTCGCCCTTCAGTGCCCTTCCTCTGGAAGCTTCTTTTTTTTCCTTCCAGTTCGGTCACCCTTGAATACCTTCTTTTTCCGCCTCTGCCTGTGGTCTTGGCCGTTTGATGGCAGCTGGTCTTGGCGGAACCGGGAAACTTCTTTCGTGTTCCTGCTTGGACCTCGTTGCTGGCCGTTCAAATTTTCCTTGTAACTTTTCCTCCGCCGCTGATGGCCCTTCCGCAGTTCGGCGACATTTGCTGCGGAGAGTCCTGTCGGATGAGTAGATCTTCCGTTTTAGAGCCGGGTTATAGTTGCCGTCATTTCTCCTGGTTTCACATACGTCGTCCTTCTCCCTTCTTCATTCTGGGGGTGTTCGTGAACTCTCTTTTCTGGACGGTGGAACGGCTTCTTTTTCTTGCTACCTTCAATTTTTCCGCGGGGAAATTTTCTTTTCACTTGCTCCTGCCTCTTAATGGCTTGCCCTTGTACTTTTCTTTGTTTTTCCACCTCTGGAGCTTGTGCCTGCGGTGTCTGCCGTGCCGGATCCTGCAAAAGATCTGAAAATATTTGCATTTTATTACGATCGAAGTAGGGTTTGATTTGATCAATGTTTGCGGAGCAGGTTTCACCATTTCTGGCTTTTAACACTACTACAGCGTGAGTTATTTTTTCTATAACATATGGTCCTTCAAATCGTGGAAAAAATTTGGCAGTTTTATCTTCTGGTGCTGAAGAAAGTGAATGCTTAATTTTTAAACTTCATCCCCTACTTTATAAGTTACTCCCCGTCGTTTCAAATCATAATAGAGCTTTCTGTTTTCTTTGTGCTACTTCCGTATTCTTTTTTGCTTCTTTAATTAGTTTTTCTATATCACCCATTTTAAATTCTGGGGCTCTTTGTTGCACATAAAATAATTTATCTAACGGCGTTATAATCTTTCTGCCTAGAAATAACTCAGCAGGAGTTTTGCCCGTTGTATCATGTTTTGCGGTCCTAAGGGCGAAAGCAAATTCATTGACATAGTTATCCCAGCTTTTATGAAAATTTTTAACATAACTACGGATAATTTTCACTATATTTCTATTGACCCGTTCCGCTATATTTGATTGCGGCCGATACGGGACCATTTTTAAATGACGTATGCCCAGTTTTTGGCACATGTCTTCAAATATATTACTTACAAATTGAGGACCATTATCCGATATAACTTTTAGGGGCGCCCCGTATTTTAAAATATATTTATTTAAAATAGAATCAGTAACTAATTTCGCGGAGGCTCGTTTTAAGGGAACAATTTCGGTCCATTTACTAAAATGATCAACCATAACAAGGAGATAGCGACTTTTATTTAACTGACTTTTTGGGAAAAGGGCCCAATAAATCGATGCCAATTATTTCATTTGGAAATTCGGATTTAATACTATTTAGAAACCCGGCCGGGCGGAAATTAATATAATTAACCTACTACTTGGCATACTACTTTTAACATACTACTTGGCATGTTGGGTAAGACCGGCCATACGCCCTTGTTAACTTTTGCAG